CTTAAATTTTTAAATATTAAGAATTCTAATAACTAACTAATAATTTAAACAATATATTCATGAAAAAAATCTATAGAAAACACAAATAAAATCTAAATTTCTGAATTGTTTAACACTTACAAAAGATAGTTAAAGATTTTTTAAAATCAAACATTGTTTCTTAAATGTTATACTAATGCTCTATCGCCTGTAAAACTCTGACCCTGAATCTAGGCCTGCATCATCGTCCCGACATTCTGAACCCTGATGCAGCGCATGTAGTAGTAACATTATGCCACCCAAAATAGCCACTTCGAATTTGATTGGTCAGGTTTCCGAGCTATGGCTAGATTGGGTGGCAGAATGTTTTGATGCGTACCGGAGAGGGTAGAAGACAGAAGAAGAGAAACCAGGTAAGAGGTTTAGATCCGCCATTGTTGATTTTCCAATTTCTTCTTATTTGTATTGAAATTGATTGTCAAATCAAGTATTTTGGTGATTAGTTTGTGTAAGGAGCATTCACAGGTTAGTTGACTAAATGTTATTTTTTCTCGAAACGTCAAAAAAACGTCACTTTGTCAGCACCTGTCAAGATGTTAGAAATTTAATTTCTATGCTGGTAGGCAAATCCAGCAGGTTAACACCTGTCGAGGTGGTAGAAATTTAATTTCTATGCTGCTAGGCAACCGCACCGGCAGTAGAAGTACTTTTAGTGCCGCTGGAGCGGCAGCAAAAGTACTTTTAGTGCCGCTCGTACTTTTACTGCCGCTTAACCATTCAGTTACCCCCGAGCTTACCCCATTTGTTTGGAGAAAAAATAGCGTGTTGCATACGGAGTAGAAGCACTTTTTTGTGCTTCAGCAGTATTGCAAGCCTCACTACGTTCGGCTCGCAAACCTACTGCTTCAGCACAAAAAAGTAAAGCTTCTACTCCTAATACAGCAATATACTATTGTTTTAAGCTTGATTTATACAATTATTTTTTTAAATTTAATGTTAGCTTTTTTTGTTTGTTTATAACATTTTTTATAACATGTGCATTGTTAATCTATTTAACAAGAATCGTTTCCTGCTGCAAACAACACAGATAAAGGGTAAATTAAAACCAAAGAAAAATTATGTGCTGTCTTTTGTGCTAGGATTTTGATTTTTGGATTAAGAGCGTGCATTAGAGCCTTGTTGAATTTACTAACATTTTCCTACCCTGACGAGAGAATATCCTAGCGAACAAATTGAAAATTTCAATCTAGAAATAGTAGCTCAAAAACAACTATAGCTGAGTAGCTTTCCGTTTGGGACGTCAGTACCTGCTGGGAAACTGGCTAACTAACCAAAAACTCTTCAGTATTGAATATAAGTAGTGTTGATTGAATGTGATGTGTGGAATTAAAATTTTAGCACAAGGACAAAGACGGTACCTAATTTAAACTATCATTGACTTAAATTATTGAATTAATGACTCAGAATTATTATTAAAATAACACAGTATGTTTCGATTTTTGAGGAATGTTCGATCGAGGGTTTCTCTGCCGTTCTCTTTCCCCTCGAGAATTCCAGGTCGAGAACGGTACGTTTTTCTTCTGATAATAAAGAATACGTTCCACAAATTTTTCGTTTCTTTTACGTATCATAACCTCCCTTAAATTTCCCTAATATTTGCTGTCGGGCGCATATTCAGTAAGTAAAATTGAGTAAGTTTCCACAACGTAGGTCGTATTTGTTTTCATTTAGTTTTTCAGAAGATTTTTTGTTTAAAGGGTAATAAAAATTCACACCGTTCAATCTTGCTGAACGAACCCGGGTATGTTATACTACACATCGATGCCAGAGGAATTTTTATTTTTTATCTCTCCAAGGATACTACACATTTCATCAATATCAGTATATATCAAATAAAAACTGTTCGATACACTACAGAAACCTCCTGCAGGTACAACATTGGATCAATTTACGAATTTAAATTTGCTGTAGTCCATCAGCAACGGAACAATAAAAATCGTTTAATGTGTCAGTGTCAACATCAACTTTAGTTTTTGCTGTGCTTGATTTTCCTCGTACATTAACTATATTCCAATTCTCTTTAATTTTATTTCGCGCCCTATCAATCCTAATAGGATAGGATTATCCTATCCCTGTAATACCACTTCTTGGCTGTCTCAATAGTACTCCTATAAATATTTCCGTAGGTATCTATTAAAATAGATCAAGAAAGCTAGGTTTAAAGTGAATTTTCTTATCCGATGCAGACATCTTAAATTTACTGAGGAGTTTCTTATTCCCGACGTAATCCATGGCTTTTTGGTTTTCTGCTTTAATTTACGGACAGGAAAGTTTACATTGAAAATTTCAACCACTATACTATTAAATTTATCAAATGAGTTATCCAACCTCAATAATCCATGCCAATCTAAATATTTTCGCAGCCTATTCCCTAAAATGTCCAAAGTTTTCAGTACTATAAATTCTCCATATTTAAAGGTTTTTGATTTTTTTTCCTGGTCTACATAAAAAAATTAAATTATAGCCTCATGGTCAGAGAGACCCGAGGACATCACAATAGTTTCAACCCCAAATATGTCAGAAAAATTTGAACAAAGATAATCAATAGTGGTACTGGAATATTTTCAGATACGGGTGGGCTGCTTAATGAGCATCTGCTCACAACAAATTAAAAGAAATTAGCAAGTCCTTCAGATTCTGAGTGCACATTGACTCAGAATCCTCATAATTAATATTCAAGTAGTCACCGGCCACTAAAATTTTAGCATTTACTGGCAAGTCCGATAAAAGAATTTCCAGTCCGTCCATAAACTATTTAATGGTTCCACTTGGAGGTCTATAGTACACACACATAATATACAAATTCATCTTGGTAAAATGAACTATTGAAAACTCAAACACCCCTTCAACGAGTAAAAACTCGTATTTACTAATATTAACCACAGAATAAGACACACAACTTATCATTCACAAGTATCATTGTGCCTCCATGTCCAAACTTTCCTCGACAAAAACTAGAGACTACCGAGTAATTGGGAATGTAGCATGGCTCGTCTGGTTTTAACCAGTGCTCTGACAACAATAAAATGCTCGGCATGTTTTGCGTTTCCAAAAAAATTGTGAACTCGTCCACCTTGTTTCGTACAGATTGAATATTTAATAAAACATATATATTTTTTTCGTGATTACTTGCTAAATCCTGCCCTATCTATAAAAAATGATGAGAAAGAGAGTCCTCATTGTTCAAACAAGTCCCACTATAGGTTATTTCAATACAAGACCCTTAAAAAGTTAAAAAGGTTGATAAGTGAGTAAGCTGAACGTATTTTAGGTTTGTGCATTAATTGATCTTAAAATTATTAATACTTAGTCTTATAAAATTTGCTAATTTGAAAAGTCCTCTAGTCAATCAATTAAGATAATCATTATAATAATTAAAGTCTTTTGAAGAAAGTCTACTAAAAATGTCAAGAAAGTCAATGTTAATTGGAAATTGTTTCAGATTGTGTACAACAGTTGACAATCTATAGTTTACAGCATAAATGGCATCAAAACGCTCAATATATTTATTATTAGTTTTACAAGGAAGATTTGATATAATCAAGTTTGCGTTAACATCACAACAAGAATCCCATTGCCATTGCATAATACGTATGAAAATTTAATAAAGAAACAAAAAAAAAACTGTTTTTATAAAACGAATGATGTAGCTATATTCTGCTTGGGACACTGTATACACAGTATGTGTATATTCAGCATTTAAAGATCTCCACGCTTCGATAATGTTGTGGAAGGTTCGGGATCCCGCGTTGTAAACAGGCTATTTGAGGCGCAACGTTCTAGAACGGTAAGTAACGGACCAACTATTTCTTGCAAGCAGTTAAAACGTATATAGCACAGAGCATTTTAGCGTGCGACTGCTTTTGTCAGTTCTAGAAGGATCCGGTGCAAACCCAAATTGCGTGATTAGATTAAATAGTATTTTCTAGATAAACTTTGCTTTTATCGTGTTTGTTCTATGCGGATTTATTCTAGTTTGATATGTAGAATGTAGGTATACCTACTTGAATAACTTGAATAGGTACTTATTAATACGTTTGTTTTATTTAAGGTGTTGTTCAATATGAAAAATAAAATTCTGAATATTTGTGAATTACAGCCCTATGCTAATTTATTTGAATTAAAAAAAGTCTTACTCCTTTCTTTTCCTGATTCATAAAATTACATCCACAGTCTCTAAATTATGGAAATTAGGAAATCACATAACAGGCATAGGATAGGAATAATTAATACAATGTCATTTGTCATTTTCTGTATTCCTAAAATTGTATCAATTTTAAAATTTAGAATGTTTCCCTTAATTCTTTCTTACACTTGTGGTAGTTTGTTTGATAAAACCATAGATAAAACCTTAAATCGCTCGATTTTAGCAAAAATAAAATACATAGGTAGGTATATAGTTTTTCGAGAGGTACAAACGAAGTACATCAATTTACCAAAAGTTACGTTGATTGCACCTCGTTGGTAATCAGGTAAAAAGACTTATTTATTCCCCGCGTTTGGCAGATGTAATGCATAATTTTTTGTACATTAAACTGCTTCGTTTTTATTTTTTTGGAAAAAACATAAAACATATGTTTTTTTCGGAAACTTGAGCGCCAAACGGGAAATTCATAAGTGTTTTTACCTTATTACCAACGAGGTACAATTAGGTAGGTACTTGTACTTCCAAAAATCATATTTATTTTAACATTGCTCAGAGTGGGGTGCCAGGTTCACACACCCTGTAATCGATGATTACATGCAAAAATTATTGTGTTGTGTGGTGTGAAATAGTTTCTTCAGAATTTAAAATTAATGACTGATAGGCAACTGACTAGATTATGATGCAGCAACAGAAACAAAATTAAATTGAACTGTTTAGGAGTCAGTTTGTGTAACATTTTTTAAATTCTAGCTAAACTGCAAATGTTCTTATTCCCTTGAAAATAGAGAAATAGTATGTAATCAATTAAACACTCTGTTAAAAATAAAGATGTTTTTATTAAATATCAAATACAACTAATATCACAAAAACATGAATAAACTTGTACCTACTTATAATCAGTCAAAAAATACAAAAATATTACTAAAATTTAATAAATTAAAAGATGAGGTATTTAACGTTTAGTCAACTTCTTCAATCGTTGGTCCTGATTTGGAGGCACTAAAACCTCCTGCTTGCTGTCCACAATTACCTGGCATTCCGTAGTTGCTTTGCTGTTGCTGGCCACCTCCATAAAGTTTGGTCATAATCGGACTACATATTGAGGTAAGTTGTTTTTGTTTGTCCTCAAATTCTTCTTTTTCAGCTAGCGAATTGCTGTCCAACCATTTGAGAGCGTCTTCGCACTCTCTCTCCACTTTGGCTTTGTCATCAGAGCTAAGCTTGTCGCCGCATTCTTGTGCAGCCTGCTTCAACTGGAAAATGTAAGCTTCCAGTTGATTTCTAGCAGTCACTTTTTGTTTTTGTTTTTCATCCTCTTCTTTGTACTGTTCTGCTTCGGAGAGCATTCTATCAATGTCGGCTTGTGATAAGCGGCCTTTGTCGTTTTTGATGGTGATATTGCGTTCTTTGCCTGAGCTGGTATCTTTAGCCGAAACATTAAGAATACCATTAGCGTCCAAATCGAAGGTCACGTCGATTTTTGGAACACCACGAGGAGCTGGAGGGATGCCAGTTAAATCGAAAGTTCCCAAAAGATTGTTATTCTTGGTCATGGGTCGTTCACCCTCAAATACTTGAATAGTGACTGCTGGTTGGTTGTCTGCATATGTGGTGAATGTTTGAGTTTGTTTGCATGGGATTCTTGCATTTCTTTCTATGATTTTTGTCATTACTCCTCCAGCTGTTTCAATGCCAAGAGAAAGTGGCGCGACGTCGACAAGAAGTACATCCTGAATTTTGCTGTCTGTTACTCCATTTAGTACTGCTCCCTGTACTGCTGCACCATACGCCACTGCTTCGTCCGGATTGATGCTCAAATTAAGCTGCTTGCCATTGAAGAAGTTTTGCAGAAGTTGTTGGATCTTTGGAATTCTAGTCGATCCACCCACCAAAACAATATCGTGGATGGAGCCCTTGTCCATTTTAGCATCAGCAAGGGCTTTTTCAACTGGCTGGAGAGTTCCTCTGAATAGATCGGCATTCAGTTCTTCAAATCTAGCTCTGGTAACTTTAGTATAGTAATCGATGCCTTCATAAAGTGCATCAATTTCAATGGTAGCTTCCGTGCTCGATGACAAAGTCCTTTTGGCTCGTTCAGCTGCTGTTCTAAGTCTTCTCAGGGCTCTAGGATTAGATCGAAGATCCTTCTTGAATTTCCTTTTAAATTCATCAGCCAAATGATTGACCAGCCTATTGTCAAAGTCTTCTCCTCCAAGATGTGTGTCACCAGCTGTAGCCCTCACCTCAAATAAAGATCCCTCATCAATGGTTAGGATAGAAACATCGAAGGTACCACCGCCCAAGTCGAAGATAAGCAGATTTCTTTCACCCTTCAGATTTTTGTCCAAACCATAAGCTAATGCGGCTGCGGTGGGTTCGTTGATGATCCTCATAACATTCAAACCTGCGATGACACCAGCATCTTTAGTAGCTTGCCTTTGAGAGTCATTGAAGTATGCTGGAACGGTGATAACTGCATCCTTAATAGGTTGGCCAAGGTATGCTTCTGCTGTTTCTTTCATTTTTGTTAGGACCATAGAACTAATTTCTTCTGGAGCGAACCTTTTAATTTCTCCTTTGTGTTCGACTTGGATTTTGGGCTTGCCACAGTCGTTGATTACTTTAAACGGCCAGTGTTTCATATCTTGTTGAATTTTCTCATCGTCGTACTTGCGTCCAATTAATCTTTTAGCATCGAAAACAGTGTTAGATGGATTCATGGCCACTTGGTTTTTGGCAGCATCTCCAAGAAGACGCTCGTTGTCTGTGAAGGCGACATAACTGGGTGTTGTTCGATTTCCTTGGTCGTTGGCGATGATCTCCACTTTTCCATGTTGCCAGACACCCACACAGGAGTATGTGGTGCCCAAATCAATACCAATTGCTGGAGTTTTTCTTGCCATTATTGATTTGCTTTGATAAACTTCACTTGAAAAATACTGACAATAATTTTTGCTTTAATATTCACTTAAAAACTTCGTCAAGTGCGAGCGTTTGCTTTCGCTTTCTCTCGAGTTTTGTTTGTATCGCTTGTTTGAATACTACTGAAAAGTCCGCGGAGCCGAGCGGCTTATATACGACGGTCGAATCGACCCGAATCCGAGAGAATATTCGGGATCCACTACGCGCCGCAACACTCATGGAATATAGTAGAACAACATAGATTACGAGTTATATTCTATAGGGTGAGCCAAAAAAAATATATAGGTAATTTTTTTCGTTGAATTTTGAATGCTAAATATATATTTCTATTTTCTAATATGTAAAAGAATTAATAAAATGCAAATATGTACTATAGACTAATTTAATCACTCAGGCTGCAACTTCAAAACTAAGTTTGAAAAATGTAGCGTATTAGTAATTTCTCACTTGAAACTTAAATAGTCAACTTTAAACAATTTTATTAAAATTCTTGATCACGAGTGGTTATTAGTGGGTATTTGAAATTTTGGTAAATAGGAAAAAGGGAGTTCAGACTTAAAACAAGAATTGCTGGAGGTGAAGCACTTTTTGTGCCTTTTTGAGACGTTTTAATGTGAACTGAGATTTATAGCATTTTATTTATTTATTTATTTATTTACGGGAAAATCCCATTTACAGTTTTACAATTAACAAAATATAAAGGTATGAACATATAAGATTAGTCATAAAAATCAGCCAAACTAACCAAAACAGTCCCTCTTAATACTAACTGACATTGTGATTGTGTCTTCTATTTCTAGTAACTATCTTAACATTCACTTCACCTAACAAAGCAGAACAAACAATTATTGTACTGTTTTTAATACCATACAGAAAAATAGGCCCAGCAAAATCTCTTTGATCCGATAGAGTCCGCAGGTTAAGATGATTATCTAACCTAACGTAATTGTGATTATCGCTAAGCTTAAATGCACAGAAACGAAGAAACCTATACTGAACCCCCACTGTGTAACCGTGAACTGCATGATACAGAGACCAAACAACTGAAATCGTCAGCAAAAGCAAGACCCTCACTGCTCTGAAAGCATTCAAAAATGGAATCAACAAACAAAAAATAATAGAGAGTAATGCCCTCCTTGAGGAACGCCTCACGTAACCAGAATTGCATCAGACTGAAAAACCCCTATTTTACCTTCTGCCTATGATTAGACAAAAAAAAAAACTCCTTGTTCAACCAACAGTTGCCGCACTGAAGCTCATATCATGTAATCTATTAAGGAAAGTATAGTGATAGTGATCCACTCTATCAAACGCCTTGGACAAGTCAGTATATTTATTGCACCTACTTGCTTAAACTCTTCCAAGGCTTTAGTTATTTTATTGATATGTGGTTACTGTTGAATGCCCAGCACAGAACCTATGCTGATTTTTATTAATTACCCTGAAACATATTCATTTTAACTGATCACTGACGAGACTGTCAAAAAGCTTGGGAATCGATGATTGCATGCATTGTAACATTTTAATTTTGCTCTTCCCATTAAATGAGTAAATCAGCGTTTTAACTGGTGACACACAAATATTATTTCAGAGCTGACTTAATTGATTGGACATTAATTACCTTACTCTGTATCTTTTCAGATAATTTTAGGCACAGCAAGCCAAGATTTTGCTGCTTATCATTTGTCTCATGATTTAGTTGACCATTGCAGATGAATATTTATTGAACAATGCCTGGCTATCTTATTCTTGTTGTCCTTAAAAGGAATTTAGGTAAATTATCAATTTTATTAGTCGATAGCCAACATTGTTTTGATTTTCGAACAAAAAAAGGGGTTATGTCCAGTTAATTTTCATTCAATTTTATTTTCGCGCCAGTTCATTCCGAAGGATTAATTATTTAATAAGTAAAGTTATTTATGGATTTTAACGAGAATAGCCTGATTTGTGTGGATCGATTCGGTCCCATTTGTTGAGTCCCTTTGGAGGTTTCGCTGACGAGTATCGATATCTTTCAATCCTTCCTAAAGTGTGGAAATCCATTTCGTCCAGCGACTAGAACACTTTGGCTTTGGCCTGAGGAATAGTTTTTTTATCCGGTTGACCATAAAGAAAATTAAGTGATTTTCTCTATTTAATTAGGATCCGGTCATCCAGATAATTTCAATTTTGGTTTTGCCAGTCTAGTTTTGGTTTTTGTTACCTTTTGGCAGCCAAATCACCTTTCTAAGGGATTTATCTATTTATTCTAGTCGGTAAGTCCACCATTTTGTGAATTTCTTTTGTTGTAAATTAATTAGTTCTATTCTCACAATAGAATATCACATCACGTCGCTTGGATTGAATTGTTTGAGCCTAGACTCTTAGAGCCTTGATTTTATTGTTGCTCGTTATTGTGAACTTCCAAATTGGATCAGCCAGCGTAGGTGAAATTAGAATTCCATGACCTTCCGTTCACCTTCAACCTTTGAGCTGTGACCCTCAAAAATCCACGAGGTAATTATGATTGCAATTTTCCATTTTAATGTTTTATTGGGGGACCATTCTATGCCACATTGATTGGTAGACTTATGGTTTTTTTTATTTAAATATTTTTTTTTTGGCAATGCAACTTATTTAATGAATTGAACTCATTATATTTAGTAGATGGGTTAAAACTTGGGAATTGAAACGTACAATTTCATATCCCAAGTGGCATAATTTCAATGGGGATTTAAGGGTAATTCATTTACTCATTGGTGCTTTCTTTAGGGTCTTATGGTACGGTTTTATGCTACCGTTTTTGATAAAGCAACTCAGTGGATGTTTTGATGGTATGCAGTACCCACCACTGTGTCTGAATAGCAAAGATTCAGCGAACTAGTTTTCATTGATGAGATAGATCATCTGGTACGAGTGTACAATCCCAGATCCGTTAATTGTCGGCATAAAGCTAAGTAGTTTAGCATAGTTTTTTTATTAATTATTTAAAAATACCGTATACGTATATGGTTTAAGTAACTTTAGTTACTTACATTTAAGTAAACATTTGACCCCATTTATTTGCGGAGTGATCACTGACGCTGGGTGTGTGTTAATTCGCACTTATTGGTCATTTTAGTTTTAAGTATAACTCTTTGCTTACATAGGTATTCATACATATCAGTACCGACAGACAGTTTTCTTTAATCTGACTAAGAGAAAACCTTTAGGTTCTTTATTTCTGCTACTCGTCATACTAGCCTCTGAATACTTGTCATAATCATTATTAATCATCATAACTTGTATTAAATCATTACTTAATATTTAATAAATACTGATTTTGTTGTATTGCCAATTACCTGCTTTCTTTGTCTTTTTGTCTATCCGATTATTTTCTTTACATTTCAGGCATAATAATTTGGTTTGTACTTTAGTTCAACCTGCCATCATCGCAGGACTTTTCCGATTTAGTGTCAAAAATCGGTGGCGCACGAATCCACGAACCGGGCACGTGGACACTTTAACAAACTCGGTTGAACTAAGGTCGCAATCCAAGAGAGGGTACATTTTGGTAATTAATTTTTGTTACGTAAAATAAAAGTGTTACATACTCCTATAATTAGTTACATTGTGCCTGTCACCGCTCTTGAAAATAGGAACAATAAAACTATCCTTCCAAAGGTCTGACTTGCTAAATAACACATGCAAAGGAACTACAAGAGTGCATGAACAATGTTTTGAAAAACAATTTGGAATCCCGTCAGGAGCCAAGGTGCTTTTATTTATTTTTTGAACAAATCTACAATGTCCTGGCCATTATCAGCCAACTGCTCACCATAAATCATGGACCGAGGGAGTGAATGATTTACTTTAGGACCTCTGACATATTTCCAAAGATATTTAGGATTAGATTTGAATTCATTGTCGACCCTAGCTTAATATTGAGACATTTGAAGGAACGAAATTGATACGGCTAAGCTAACTCTGTCCTAGGAGACCCTGTATAATATTAGAGAAACATGATGCAGTTTGAAAAAAAAACGACTTGAACCAGCGATTTTTCGAGGATTCTATTGTTATCGAATCATGATTTATGTGGGATTTTATGAGCTCGCTGGGTATACACCCGTCCGTCCCACCGAAATCGGCGAGGATTTTCGAGAAGCGAATGGAAGCTACACGCGCCGCATAACACAAGGAACGTTAATGCATATTTTATAGGGAGAGCCAAAAACATTTTATACAATTTCATTTATTGTTTTCATATCTTATAAAATCAAAGAATAACTATTTTTACATTTAGGCCAAGCGGTCGATAACCAACACTTCCTTTCAATATTATTTAAACAATTCAGTTTTTCCATATTTTTGGAATGAGGATATTTAGTTAGTATGTGTACTTTCGAATTCGCATGTATTTTCAATTCTTCAGTCTTCAGTTACTATGTATTTGCAATCAGACATAGAGAAATTTAGGTAAGTATAGCTTTAATCAAAACCATATACGAATAATCGTTTCCTACCTAATTTATAGTTTGCCAGTATGAATATTAAACTAGAACCGAGAAAACATTGGACAAAATAAAAGAAAAAACTAAATTCCTGAATTCAGGACCTCAAAGACTCATCAATACATTGCAAGTTCAAATTTGCATAAACTTCCAATTTCATTCGATAACAAACAAACCAATTACGATATTTTCAGGCAGTCACATTTTTTTGAGACACGGTATATCATTCAGCGCTCAAGCTCGAGTAAATTCCATAATATTGTGGTAGGTTGGGGAGCCTTTTCAAGGCAGAACTTTCTAGACCCGTTCAATGTAGTGGGCCAATCGTTTTTCAAAGCAGATTTAGCAGACGCAATGTCAGCGCATGGATTGTGCGGCTGGATTTGACCGTTCTAGAAAGCTCCAGCTACAAACCCAAATAGACTGATTAAAACAAGCAGAGTATTTTCTAGATTTTTATCAACATAGTCCATGTTTGTTTGATGTGGATTGTTTAAATTAAATAAGTATTTTGTTTATTGTTTTGTTTCCAGCTTTTCTTTGATAAGAATATATTATGTTTTTCGAAATATTTTTGAATAATTCATCTGGGTGAACGTACATACATCAATTTTCAAAAATTGGAATCGGATATTTGTGGGGTGGGCTTCATGAATATTTTTGAGGAAATAATTAAAAAATTATAGGAAGCAAGCGCAAATAATTGTTGAAAACTCTTAAATCTCCAACTTTACGGCTTTAGTAGATATTCTATTCTGAGGAGTGCTTTGAAACTCAAGAATGATGTTAAATCTGTGAAATTGAAACGTTTTTTGTAATTCTGATATCTACCAACCCAACCAATCAATAAAAATAATACCTTATAGGCATGTATTTTTCGCCTTATTTTTTTATCATAACTTCTGTTGTTTCAGAAATGTTTTATTTTTTCAGTTGCCACATCATAATAACACATAATAATGTCCCCTGCAGTTTTTTTTGGGCCCCTTTCAGCTGTTAACATATTGTAGAAATAATAATTAACCTGCGTTTCTAATAAAATCGGCTCAGTAGACCAAAATTTATGAAATAATGTCATTGGATATAATGGGTTTTATTTGAGACATTTAATTCCAGCATTAGAACATTATAATGATTTTTTAGTTGTTTTCAAAAAGTTAGGAATTTTTATTTTCATTTGCCCCAAACCCACTACAAACCAACTTCACTGATACAAGATGGATGCAATGTATATTTCTTTTAGTTTGAATCTTCAATTAAAAATTTGAATAGGTAAAAAATTATAGGATTAATATGTGCTTGTTCCTTGAAAAATTATTGAGTACAGCCAATTAATTTAGCAAACCTGACAAGATTGAGATTGCAGCAACCAGCAGAACGCCGAGCAGAACAGACCTGATAGTGATTTGAAATGGAAATCAGTAATTTATATTCCAGTTCGATTTAATTTGCTGAATGTTATTTCGAATCTTTTTATAGATTTCAAAAATAATTTCTTTAAAAAATATAATGAATAAAACAAACCTTTTAAAAACAAAGAAATTTTATTAATATTACAAAAACATAAATACATTTTAACTTATAACTAATCAGTCAAAAAAATACATAAATAGTAACAAGATTCAACAAATGGAAAATTAGTCAACTTCTTCAATCGTGGGTCCTGATTTAGCACCACCGAAACCTCCTGCTTGCTGTCCACAGTTACTGCCTGGCATTCCGTAGTTGCTTTGTTGCTGCTGGCCACCTCCATAAAGTTTGGCCATAATCGGACTACATATTGAGGTAAGTTGTTTTTGTTTGTCCTCAAATTCTTCTTTTTCAGCTAGCGAATTGCTGTCCAACCATTTAAGAGCCTCTTCGCACTCTCTTTCAACTTTGGCTTTGTCATCAGAGCTAAGCTTGTCCCCGCATTCTTGTGCAGCCTGCTTTAACTGGAAAATGTAAGCTTCCAGTTGATTTCTAGCAGTCACTTTTTGTTTTTGTTTTTCATCCTCTTCTTTGTACTGTTCTGCTTCGGACAGCATTCTATCAATGTCAGCTTGTGATAAGCGGCCTTTATCGTTCTTGATGGTGATATTGCGTTCTTTGCCTGAGCTGGTATCTTTAGCCGAAACATTCAGAATACCATTGGCGTCCAAATCGAAGGTCACGTCGATTTTTGGAACACCACGAGGCGCTGGAGGGATGCCAGTTAAATCGAAAGTTCCCAAAAGATTGTTATTCTTGGTCATAGGTCGTTCACCCTCAAATACTTGAATAGTGACTGCTGGTTGGTTGTCTGCATATGTGGTGAATGTTTGAGTTTGTTTGCATGGAATTCTTGCATTTCTTTCTATGATTTTTGTCATAACTCCTCCAGCTGTTTCAATGCCAAGAGAAAGTGGCGCGACATCGACAAGAAGTACATCCTGAATTTTGCTGTCTGTTACTCCATTAAGTACTGCTCCCTGTACTGCTGCACCATACGCCACTGCTTCGTCCGGATTGATGCTCAAATTAAGCTGCTTGCCATTGAAGAAGTTTTGCAGAAGTTGTTGGATCTTTGGAATTCTAGTCGATCCACCCACCAAAACAATATCGTGGATGGAGCCTTTGTCCATTTTAGCATCAGCAAGGGCTTTTTCAACTGGCTGAAGAGTTCCTCTGAATAGATCGGCATTCAGTTCCTCAAATCTCGCTCTGGTAACTTTAGTATAGTAATCGATACCTTCATAGAGAGCATCAATTTCAATGGTGGCTTCGGTGCTCGATGACAAAGTCCTTTTGGCTCGTTCAGCTGCTGTTCTAAGTCTTCTCAAGGCTCTAGGATTAGATCGAAGGTCCTTCTTGAATTTCCTTTTAAATTCATCAGCCAAATGATTGACCAGCCTATTGTCAAAGTCTTCTCCTCCAAGATGTGTGTCACCAGCTGTAGCCCTCACCTCAAACAGTGATCCCTCATCAATGGTTAGGATCGAAACATCAAAGGTACCACCACCCAAGTCGAAGATGAGCACATTTCTTTCACCCTTCAGATTTTTATCCAAACCATAAGCTAATGCGGCTGCAGTGGGTTCGTTTATGATCCTCATAACATTCAAACCTGCGATGACACCAGCATCTTTAGTAGCTTGCCTTTGAGAGTCATTGAAGTATGCTGGAACGGTGATAACTGCATCCTTAACGGGTTGGCCAAGGTACGCTTCTGCGGTTTCTTTCATTTTTGTTAGGACCATAGAACTAATTTCTTCTGGAGCGAACCTTTTAATTTCTCCCTTGTGTTCGACTTGGATTTTGGGCTTGCCACAGTCGTTGATAACTTTAAACGGCCAGTGTTTCATATCTTGTTGAATTTTCTCGTCGTCGTACTTGCGTCCAATTAATCTTTTAGCGTCGAAGACGGTGTTGGATGGATTCATGGCCACTTGGTTTTTGGCAGCGTCTCCAAGAAGACGCTCGTTCTCTGTGAAGGCGACATAACTGGGAGTTGTTCGGTTTCCTTGGTCGTTGGCTATGATCTCAACTTTTCCATGTTGCCAGACACCCACACAGGAGTATGTAGTGCCCAAATCGATACCAATTGCTGGAGCTTTTCTTGCCATTATTGATTTGCTTTGATAAACTTCACTTGAAAAATATTGACAATAATTTTTGCTCTAATATTCACTTAAAAACTTCGTAAGGCGCGAGCGTTTGTTTTCGCTTTCTGTCGAGTTTTGCTTGTATTGCTTGCTTGAATACTACTGTGAAAGGTCCGCAGAGCCGAGCGCCTTAAATACGCCTGTCGAAAAGACCCGAATCCGAGAGAATATTCGGGATCCACCACGCGCCGCAACATTCATGGAACATCGCAGAACAACATAAATAACAAGTTATATTCTAGAGGGTGCGCCAAAAAAATATGAAGGTAATTTTTTTTATTGAGTTTTGAATGCAAGACGAACACTTCTTATATGCGAAAGAATAAAATGCAAATACTTAATTCAATCACTCAGGCTGCAATGGTAAAACGAAGTTTGAAATAGGTATATAAATCGGATTTAGAATGTAGGGTATTAGTTGGTAATTCTAATTCTAATAAATCTGTTTGCTCTAGACCTCACAGTTTTTTTTTTTTTCTCTATTTTCCAACTTAAATATTCAACTTTAGGCGATTTTATTAAAATTCTTGATCATGCTTTTTGTTCTGTTTTGTCGCTTTCTTCAATTCAAGAGTTCATAAGCAGGTAGTTGAAATCTTGTTCAGTTCAGAGCTAAAACATAACACAAGAATTGCTGGAGGTGAGGCACTTTTTGTATTTATTTGGGACTTTCTAATGTGAATTGGTCTTTATTGCATTTGAAGAAACGAAATAGATACGGTTAACGCAGTTCTAGGAGATTGTTATATTATTTTTTGAAAAATGAAAACAAAATCGACGTGAATATCGTTATAGAAATTGTGAATTTATGTGGGATTTTATGAGCTCACTGGGTATACATGCACCCATCCGTCCCACTCGAATCGGGGAGGATTTTCGAGAAGCTATTCTACGCGCCGTAACACAACCAACCTCTAAACAAAATATATCACAGGCAAATTGCAGCACCTTTGTAATGCATATTTTATAGGGACAGTATCATATTGAATCTGAAAAAAAATTAAAGCCAAAACACAAGTAGGCATGTAAAACGCAATTAAAAACAGATATAAAATCAAAGATTAACAATTTGTTGGGTCGCATGAAATAAAATTTAGTAACTAAATTAAGTAAATTGCCATCTTGGAAGCAGAAGCCTGGCATTCATTTTATTAATTGTTACTTTTTTTAGATCAGAATGAAGGTGTTCGTATTTTTTTATGTCTTGTTGATGCATTTTCAATTCTTCACTCTTCAGATACAATTCGCAACCAACGATTGATAAATTTGGATATACCTTTAATCGAAATCGTATGCGAATAATCGTTTCTTACCTAATTCTTAGTTTTCTCGTATGAATATAAACCTACAATGGTGAAAACATTGGACAAAATAAAAGTAAAAACCAAATTCATAATTCAGGACCTCAAAGCGACTTATAAATTCATTGCAAAAGGGTACTTGCATGGAAAATTAAATTCATTATTGTTTATTGCAAACTGTAGGAAATCGAAAAAAAATCGTTACATTTTTTTTATTTCACCCAAATATGATTATTCCGGTAGTTATTCAAATATTAAGTTTTGTATATATAGATATACTCAGCATAGAGTAACGTCATAGGATATCTAAAATAAGCACATTTCAAAGCGTTGTATTTCCGTCAATTTTTGTCTAAGAAGAAAAAGAAAAAACACGTGTTGACTTATTTTTCATGGACTATCGAAATTTGCAATAAAAAAAATTGATGCAAGGGGCCTATTACGATATATTTAGGCAGTCACATTTCTTTGAGACACGGTATATCATTCATCGCTTAAAGCTCCAGCAAATTCGATAATATTGTGGAAGGTTGGGGATACAGCGTTTTCAAAGCAGAATGTTCTAGACCCGTTGAACGTAGTTGTCCAATCGTTTTTTGAAGCAGGTTTAGCAGAGGCAGTGTCAGCGCCTGGATTGTGCGGCTGGATTTGACCGTTCTAGAAAGCTCCAGCTACAAGCCCGAATAGCCTGATTTTCAAGCAGAGTATTTTCTAGATTTAGATAGATTTTTATCAACGTATTGTCGTGTTTATTTGATATGAATTATTTTGATTAAATAGCTGCTTATTAATGACGTATATTGCCTTGTTTTAAGATTTTGTTTGATAAGGTGGATAAGGATAATAATATAAATTTTTTGTAATCTGCGAAATTGGAAAGTTTTTTGAAACTTAATTCAGATAATTTTTATTTTTAAAAAATAATGACCACTCAAACCAATCAAGAACTTTAACGTCATGAAAATCCAAATTTAAAAAAAAATTGGACTGGATCTTGATGTTTTGTTTGCACTTGAGGAAAATTACTTGATAACCAACAATGACAAAACTAAGATTCGTGTTAACTATAATTTCAAATAAAAAATGTTTGACTAAATAATACTTAAAACGATATGAAAAAATTAAAACAATTTGCAACCATAGAAAAAGTACGATGTGCATCTCTAGAAAAAAGCACATTTGTCCTAATTACTCGATGAATTTGCCAAAATTCATGTCGTTCATGAATTTTTTTTTTTTTTTTTCACTTGTTGCATGAAATATCATTGTCCCCCACAGTTTTCTTGGCCCCATTTCAGCTCAATATCAAAATCTAGCATTGTATTTTTGTAGTCTTGAGAAGCTTTGAATTCTAACCTTATTTTTTTATTATAATAATTAGGCAATCCAACGACCTGTCCAAATGGCATCTGGTTGGCAAATTATATACCCAAAATATATCTATGTTTTTATTTTTTTTTATTTTTTTTTTCGAAAACATCGTTTATTTGCATAAATAACATAACAATAATATAATATAATTTTAACCAATTCTCTAAACAGTACATAAGGTTCTGGCCTCGAAAATAATAGAATATAATAAATAAAGTAGGTATCAACAGTGCGTGTTACTATTATAATTTTTATTTTTTTTTTCCTATAACTAAAATCGTAATCTACATTCTATATTGACTACATCACATCCTTATCACATTCATTAAAGACAACTATATGTTTAAATATTGCTTTAGTTTATACAAAAAGCTACTATAATGTTGTATGGATCTAATTTCTACTGGTAAGCAATTATAAGCTCTACTAGCAGACTGCATGGGACAGTTTAATGCTATATTTGTACGACTATAAACAGGATATATATTGTTTTGTGACCTAGTAAAATGATCATGTATTTCGCTTGTAAAATTGAAACAAGTGTTACTTTTTTGTCTACTATTTGTTATTCTGTATATTAACTTACATTGTTCTAGTTCCAAAATTTTATCCAGCTGAGCAACTTTTAGTTCTGTATATATCATGTTTGTATTGGTGAATTTGTTATAATTAAATAGTATTTTGAGTATTTTGTTTTGTAGAGTCTGTATGTCTTTAAATAAAGTCCCCGAACACGTTCCCCATATTGGAATTAGATACCTCAATCAAATGTGCAAGAAAAAATGAATTATAAATACTATATTTGGTTTTATTGGTAAAATAGTGGCGACATTTGAATAATATTGGTAGCATCGGGGTAACTTTTTTAGAAATTTCATTTACGTGTGATTTCCAATTTAAACATTCATCAACTATTAACCCTAGATATTTTATTGATGAGACTTTTTCCAACATGATGTTATTAATTGTAATCTGAACTTCATTAATTATTTAAGTTTTTAGAATTTCGTCCACAACAATTTCAAATGAAAGTCAGTTTTTGGCTTATTGGACGTTAATTTAATATCGAAATCAATGCCGACGTTTCGGTGTACTCCTTTTTATTTATATATGTAGATGACACTCTAACTGCTCTGCCCAATGACAAAATAACTACAGTATTAAATATTTTCAATGGCATAAATCCATCACTTAGTTTTACTATTGAAAAAGAAAAAGATAAAGCCATACCATTTCTGGATTTGCTGATAATAAACAAAGATAATAAAATCATACTTAATCTCTACAAAAAACCAACTAGCTCAACTAGGATTTTAAATTATACGTCAGCACACGCACTACACCATAAAATCAATATTATCAAACAATTCCAACTCAAAATTTATAGATTATCTGACAAAAAATTCTGGCACAACAATTTAATAAATCTGAAGAATATCCTAACTCAAAACAATTATCCTAAAACGTTAGTAAATAAGATTTTAAGTAGACCACCAACTTGTCGAGAAAACACTTATGAAATGAATCCCCATTCGACACACAATAAAGTAACATATTTCAAAATTCCTTACATAGAAAATTTATCCTATGCATTGGCGAAAAAATTAAAAACGGATAATTGCCAGATTGCATATTACAACACGAAAAAAGTTGGCAATATCTTTTCTAGAGTGAAAGATAAAACAGATGACAATCTGCAGAGCAATGTAATTTATCAGATACCCTGTGGCAATTGCAATAATTGTTATATTGGCCAAACCAAACAACACCTAAGGAAACGGGTCTTAGAATATAAAAGAGATTGCAATGTTATCAATGCACATAACCCCCGAACGGCACTTGCGTTACACCACTTCTCTGAAAACCACCACTTCAATTTCGATGACAAAGATATTAGACAGGGAGCCTAACTTGAAAAAACGACTGTTCCTTGAAATGGCTCAAATACAAAAGACAGACAACACGGTGAATTTGAACACAGACGTCCAGAATTTAAGCAGGATTTATTACAATTTGATAAAACATTTTTCATAATAATAATTATCTATTGTGTTTACCCACCTTTCCACTTGGGGAGCGCTCCGTACATGACGAAATTCCAACTTTTTTATGTTACTCATATACAACCATCAATATTTTAAACGAAAATATGAACTGAATTATTAGTAATTCTGTTGGTACGCGCGTGGATGGTAGCGTTCCTTTGGTTTGGTTTTTCTTTGTACGTGTTTTTCCGTTTTTTATGTCCAATTTTTGGAAATGTTTGTGAAAAACGAAAGAAATAATTGTTTAAAATTAATAATCTAGGTGAGTTTTCTGTTTTTATAATTTTTTTTTGTTGTTGTATTTTTCATTTTATTGTTCAGTGTTATAATTGCAGTTGAAATATGTAAAGACTGTCTTAAAAGAATATTCGCTGTCATACCAAGGTAAATTAAGTAGGGTTCTTGTTTCTATCGTTACAGCCCTGAAGATGGTGTGGAGTACACCGAAACGTCGGCATTGATTTC